TGTCCAGTATTTCAAGTATAAAATACTCTATTTAAAAACCAAATCGCAATAAATACTATTTAATTGGTTAGCGAAAATTTCGTTACAGTCACACACTTTTTGTTATTTTCAGTGCGCTGCAAAACTTAGACAGAGTCCCACATTGTGAGTGGCACGACGGAGGGAGTTGGAGACTGTGATTGAAAGCATACCCATATTTTCCTGTTGACTGCCAAATTTTTATTCTCTTGTAGTGTGGCGAGTACTACATTGGTCAAAGGCGTCGTTGTACAAACGACAATTTGACAAAAAACAGTGGGCTGCAATGTGAGCTTTAGTGGCTAGAAACCGTCTGGCTGAAAATTGCTGAAGGGACATGTGCGCCACTCAAATTGACAGCACCAGCGTGATCAGCTAGAATGGGTAGCAGGTGTGCAGGGAATTAGTTGAAGCGTTTTGTGTAAGATGAGTGGGTGATAGGTGTTTTTGGTCGAGCCGTCGTTGGCTACCCTCCGGAAGTTTTGTAGCTGATAACAAAACTACGCATTAGATTGTTAGATATAGTGATAGTGAAGTTGGAAAAGTGGGAAAAAAGGGAAAAGTGTACACTATAGCTGTGTAAAGTACAAGAAGCATCGCAGCTGATTCATTTTGAGGGCCTAGCGTGGCCTTCTTGGCATGGCTAGGTATTTCCTTAGCACAGACAAAGTAGAGTCGAACCACAGCCTCTCACAGGTAACACAACAATGTCCAAACTCCAGCGTAAGAACTTAAGTGCAAAGCTGACTGTGGCACCCTGGCAGAAACGCGGGCATTCGTTCGCTAGTGCTACGCTCGTGCAGTGGGCAAACTCCACGTGACGGTTCCGGTACTGTAACCGTCAGTGGGCGCAGCTGACTAGCAAACGCACGGAGATAGTTTTAGAAGACACTCTACTTATTTCCTACAGCTTCGAAACCCGTGGAGGAGTTAGAGGCAAGCGTTATCAGACTGAATATAGGTTATTGACTTTGAAGAGACACTGAAGATCAATACCATTTTTCGTGCATTAGTAAAACACCATTTCCCAATCCCGAAACCACTGCCTTTACCATGACTTGGCGTTCGGTAAGCGAGAAAAGGCGTAAAAATAGAATGCGGGACGAGACGTCACTGTGAGATTCTCACACCAAACCGGATGCACCGAAATGTAGTAAGTTTTGAAGGCGTCTACTGAATTTTACATGGCTTTTACTCGATGAAAATTACGTTTACTGTCTTTTTTGTGTGCCCAAGACCTAGCTTACGACGTTTTAAGAATTTTCACTAAGCCAATAATTTGAAAATAGGAAAAATACATTTTGTAATTTTTTACACCACGTGGAGATGTTGGCGCGAAAATTAAAAATGAAAGACTGACCTTTAGTAAAGAACTTATATCAGGGAAACTTACAGCATTACAGTTTTCAAATTGCAGTTAATAATCTAAACCAAGTCATTGCTACTTTTTAGTGACCCTTAAGCCCCTGCCAATGATGAGGCTTGTCTGTTTTACGGTAGGTAAACACTGAGTTAAGGTGTAGTGCTGTTTTTTTTTTGTTTGACTTGTCTGTTGTACATTTTTTTGAGCGACATAGATATGTCTCAAGGCAGTAATTCCTACCACACAGTTCAACTCTAATCTCGAAAAGTGCTCAACACACACGCTACAATACTGCGCCATCAACTCACCCAGTTTTCTGAGGCGCAAAACGACAGATACTATTATGACACCGCCCCCACTTACCGCTTTTGTTTGCTTCGTACTTTTTCACTTTACAGCCACTTCACCCATCAGTCCGATCCATACTGTAGAGGATTTTTGCTCATTGTCCACTGCTCACTTGTTAGTGCTTTCACGTGCATTATGTGCTAGCTCATCCGATAAAAAGCCCCACCGTCGTCACAAGCACTGTATCCCTGAAACTGCCGCTGTCGCCCAACTCGCTTGCACGTTTATCCGATTCTCCTCTTCTGCCCGTCTGGCTAGAACATTGGTCTGGCTTAAAAAAATATAAATGTCGGCGAAGACTGCACTAGATCACGCAAGGCTTCAAAAAGTGAAAGTGGACTATTCTGAAGACTAATCTGGTTGCTGCTAGGTTGGCCTTAGCTATAGGATGTTACTAGGTTACGTTTAGGTTACGTTTACTAGGTTATGATTACATCTAGGTAAATTCCAGACAGCCACAACGCCACACGAATGCCAAACTTCCAGACACGTGAACTCGCATTAAAACGCGGCGTGTACAAACCTCTAGGAGATCTACGGGCACATTGTCGTTGTCGTAGGCCTTGAATCGTTTCGAGATCTTCTCACAGCCGTGGTTGCTTTCCCCATTACTTAGTATTCCCTTGCTATATACGTACACGGGGTCTTTTGCTCACCGCCGCTGCTTCGTTGCCAATAGTTGTTGGTTTAACTGCTGCCTTCTTAATTTTTAGCGGATCAATGGTCAGTATTGGGATTAATTTCTGTGACACATACTCATTTATGATTATGATAGTTTTTTGTTCGTCGGATGAGGAGTGATTTGCTGAACACCTTCACTGTTAAATGAAACACTTCGGCGTTCATAGACAAAGCGTTCATGTCAAAAAACTATCTGAGCATGTTAGTCGACTGGCGGAATCATCTTTGTACATAACAGGCCCGTATATAAAAGGGTTTCTCAGTTCCCGCCTTTCCCCTTCTCCGAAATTGTGGCGGGGGGGATGGGGGGGGGGCGTTTCACTGAAAATAGGTAATGAAAAGAGGCTTTTTAAATATCCAAAGTCTTCTAATAATGCCCTTATTCACACCTTCAAAAGTAATTCTAGCGGCCGGTCTGGTACAAGGGCTTCCTCGTGTTTGAAGCATTACAATTCATTCATTGGACACCTCTCAATGGTAACACGCAAGTGGACTCCAGCACTCTGAAATATTTTATTTCTTTTGAATAAACACGTTCTTCAAACAACAGCCGATCAGCAGTTCTAGATTATCAGGTATGGCATTACTTCTCAAAGTTTATTGGCTAGGTTCATTTTCGAACATCCATTGCCTGGTGCTATCGATGATCATTAGTACCTGCGAAGAAAACAAAGACTGTAAATCAAAACGGCCAGATCGTGTCAGTTTATTTACAACATTGTTGATAGAATGCTAGTATGAGGGTTTTAAAATGTGGTATTACGCAAAGGAACTATTCGCCAGTGTCTCCGTGTTCTCTGTTAATTTCTTGTGCATCAGATTTATTATTGCTATAGAATAAATGTTCAATTAGAAGACCTTGGAGCGGAACCACCAACTGGTTACATACTCAACAATGGCATGCGACATTACACATTCTATTGGCAGCGCAAATAAAATGGTGGTAAACTTTTGTACATGCGCGTAACCGAGTCATGAACTGAATGAAACACTCCAAATACTGAGCGAGTATGCTACGCGAACGTTGAATGTTCTGCAAGTGGCCCAAACAAGGAAAGAATGACACTAAAATACATTAACTCACTTAGACACTCGAGCACATTGTCATTGTTCAAAAAGCGAGGTGATGTTGCCAGGCTACTAAACCAGGAATAGAAAAGATAGAGTGTATAGAATAGGTATACAAGCTTAGTGGTAGTGTTTTTAGTTGGTGTCTTTTTAAACAATTACTTGCAATGGACGCGTCTAGAACTTCCTCCGTTCTCAAACCCGAAGAAAGTGCGAGATTTTTTTCTGACTTCTGCTGTTGCATTGCAGAGATCATTTTTTTAATGTGTTGATCTGCAGGGGTCCTGCAAAACTTTTTTATCATGTTGAGAAAATGCTTCAGATCTGTAGTCGAGGCCGCTATGTTTTTATCAGAAAAATATTCGGCCCCGCATGCTCTAGGTTATATACAATTATGTTTCAAGGCAATTAAAGATCACTCACTCACTCTACGATAGACTTTCCTGACTCCGTGGCTGAAGGAGGAACATGGTCATTGACTGCTTTGAGCATTCCCGCCATGTGCAGTTACCGCGGCCGCAATAGGTGCCACCAAGTAACCGTGCGGCGCTCTATAGTGCTAAAATTACACACTATAGGTTCACACGAGAGCTCATGATCAAGCCGAAAGCGAGAGGACGCTTTCAGAAAAGGCAAGCAAGGAACGCTTTGTTCTGAATGTCACACCGCCGTTGGGCCTATAGCTTTTTACCACTTCGTGATTCCCCACTTTGAAGTTTTTGGTGCGTTCGTTGTTGTGAAAGAGATAAAAAGTGCGCGAAGCCTTTGAACAATTGCTCTAAGTCTGCTCATACTTTAAGGCATTGAAAATTTTCCCAGCAGTCGAATAGTGAGGGGGTGGAATTCGATAGTATGTTTATTCGTTGATTACTTGAATTAGTGGTCCAGGGCTTTTCAAATTGCTCCTCGTTTACTCTCATAAAAATCTATATCAAGATGTTGGTTTATCTCTCTTTGCTATGTGGGGCTTTATCATCACATGTAATAATAATGGTGACACAGTTGTTAATTGTCTGTGGTACTTCGGCAACTCCTAAACTTTAGAATAATGCAACCTTTTCATCAGCTGACACACTGACCGCTACTCTACAATGTGTAAATTTTATTTACCCATTCATGTCAACTGGTTCTTGTTTGCTGATTTTTATTTTCTGATTTAAATTCATCCCCGCCACGAAGTTTTAGTTGTTATAGCACTCGACCCGCAGATGGCGGAATAGAATCTCGGCTGCGGTGGCTGTGTTTTCGATAGACAAAAATCTTTGAGCCCCTTGCACTTCGATTGAGGTGCGCGTTAAAGAACTACCATTAGTCATAATTTTCAGAACCCTCACGGCGTCTCTCATAATTCTATCCTGGTTTTGGAAACTTAAAGCTTACAAATCATTGTTATTATTCATGGTGCGATCTATTTGTCTTGTGTAGCCGTTTTAGTGCCCCCTTTAAGATTTGAGGAATCAAATGTGAAGTTCACAGAGTACCTGAATTTTGTTTATCAAACGTTAAGTGTTTGCTGGGCTCACCTGGGACTGGCCCACAAGAAGAGTGAGCCGAATCGAGCGTCTACTCAGTGGTGACCAGGGCACTCATTGAGAGGGACACACAGATGCTCCTGGTTCCTGTAAAATCCTTCTGCACAGAAACAGCCTTGGATGCAGTCAGCCGTGCAAGCGGGTCCCACGACGGGCTTCTCGCAAGTGCCTTCTCTGCAGCTGCTGCTCACACACTCCTTCCACGTCTCGTTCGGCCTGCAGCTTTCGGGCGTCCTTTGCGCTGTGGAAAAGGGAGCGGATCGCAAGGTGGCACCTACTTGCGATTGCATTTGAGCATAAAGCAGGCCAAAGAGACATGGCGTGGTACCAATCAAAAAATTTAAATTAATTTTTAAGGATTGACGTCCCGAACAGTCGATATATTTATAAAAAAAGCCGTATCGGAGGACTTCAGAAACTTCCACCAGCTAGAATTTATTAACGGGCACCGACGTACATGGGCCTCAAACATTTTCCTCTTTATCGAAAATAGAACCGCCATTGATGGGGTTCTACCCTGGGACTAGCGAGTCAGCAGTCTGGCACTATAACCACTATGGACTGCTGCGGCAGGTATGCCAACATAAAATAATAGTTTATGGGGCACAACGTCCCAAAAATATTGAGGTTACGGATGACGCCATAACTAAAACCTCTAGATAAATTTAACTTCGCGAGGTTTTTCAACAATGGGTGACTTTGCACAACACAACATCCACAAACATTTCGCCTCTGTCAAATTGCGATCTTCACGGTCGGGGTCGAACCCGAGTGTTAAGTGTCAGCAGCCGTGCACCGCTACATCACAGACACCGCGAGACAAGAGGTGTGACGATGGCACCGATGGTGTTTTTCTGTAGTGGATACTTCGTCATAATTCGCCAATTATCATTTTAAAAGCCTACCACCATATAGTCAAATTACTATTGCATGTGGGCGAATTTCCACAATTACTCGCACGCAATGAAATTTAGTTGCGCGTTTTAGAAACCCCAAGTGGTCAAAACTAATTTCACGGCTTCCAGAGGTGAGCTTGATACCTATTTCAATATTTCGACACGTAGAAATCCAGAATTTTAGTTTGTAAGGAAATTGTCTCAGCTAGATTCAAGAACTTTTAATTGTACTGCTGCTCATAAACGTATGATGTGACCAGAATGATCTGTATATAACGCTGTGAGACGTAAGTTAGAATCCCTCCACTAGAAAACGTAGATTTTGTGTTGCATACTCTACACAACTGGGTACAGGAAGCCACCCAATATGTTGTGTGCCTACCGAGAGGCAAAGCAGCCTTTGCAATATCGGGTATGGTTGGCTTTTTCAATTCGCTAAGTGCGCCAACGCTATCTCAAGAGGAAGCAAAGAAGCACCAAGATTTTCTCATGCGTTGCGTAATTATAACACATTAAACGATGAAATTTTCCCGTTGTGTCTTGCCGATCTCATTTGAATAGATACGCATATTAGACTGAGGTTTTAAAACATTCGCAATATTACAACAAAAGGTTTAATTATTTTTGTGTTTCTTCATTACCTCGCTGTAAATCACTCACAGTGATTACGAGCATGACTCAGAAACTTGAGTCTCAAAAATTAATACGGACTGAAAGACAGTGCCAAAATAAAGTTTGCAAGTTGATTCTATCTGAAAGAAGTATGTGAAATACTTAGAAACCCCCAAAAATATTGCTTCTTACCACATGAAAGTGCGACGATGCCTGCCAACAGTATCAGAACCTTGAGCTGCATGATGGCTGTTCTTAAACGAGAGTCAAGCGAATGTTCGCTCTTATATATGCACACCCAGCCAGCTTACACGAGACGTCCTGCTCAAGGATCACGTGTTGTCTGCTTCGACAAGACGCTGCACAGCAGTTTATGTATCGCTGACACCCTCTTCACCTTTATCAGGTACTACCGCGACGACCGCTTACCTGGCATGATCGCGACTCGTGCAATTTTTTTTCTGAACAGACAAGACTTCCCGCGCTGTAAACAAAACGGCAGTTGAGCTCAATAAGGTTGGCACGATATTTTTTCTTCTTTTTCTACTTGTTTTGTTTTTGCGAACTTCTTGCTCCAACCTCTGAATATTTGTCTAGACCTTCTTACCAAGCTGAATAAGCGTGATACACAGCCTGTTTTACGATATGAAACCTTAGAACGCTCCTGTAAAGGTTCGCCTGTAAGAGTAGAGCAAGAAAAGATTAGTGGGCCCCTATGGCGTCACGCGGACCCACAGCCAGAAAGTTTTTTTCGGAGAAGGGGGAGCGAATGAATACAATAAAATACTTTGAGTGCAGCGGATCATAATTATCGTCATCATATCCTGGTATACCGTGAGTAATATTGTTCTTTCGTGAACGGTTTTCAAGACCTTGGAATTTAGGTGTTACGTTACCCACTACGTGTTTTAAGAAAACTAGTTCTTGACGAAGGTGTTCGAAATCTTGCTAAGTCAGAGTGACGCCTCCTTTATTTCTTTCAATGCCAATGCAAACGCCCGCTTCAAAACAGGAGCCACCGATACACCTTAGTTCAGGGAGTGGTGATGATACGACGGTATACAGGATGGGTATAGCGCTGATTGCATCACACGTCCATTGGAGTGCTTTCCCCCGGAGATGCAATAGACGTGATTGCGCCTCCAATATCATACGTCTATCGAATTTCTTCATTCGGGTGCCGTCTTCGTGGCTGCATGGAATGCCAAGGCCACACCACAACGCTCTTAAAATAGCGTATAAGCAGTAGCGTATCATGGTGATTATGCGCATCAGCGTTGCCTGGACGCTTCTACATTCGTTGCCCCCGTAACCCTACGAACGTTGACAAGCTACCTCAAAATACCGTATAGATGACGGAGCCAGCGTGACCAGCAGCATTGTGAACACGATGAATGCAAGACGCCGCGCTATGGCATCTGCACCCAACTGAATCAAAAACTGCTTCATATAGTTCCCGTCATGAGGCACTACACCCCTGACACCAAACATCAGTGACACCCTCTTCTTTTCCTTTCTCTTTCACAACAATTTGTCCCTACCACTACCCATCGACCATGTGGCGGTGTTGCGGTGACTTCATCACAGAAAAACAATTAGCACGACACACTTATAAAGACGATAGTCTATCTTAGGGACCTTCGAAGGAAAAGTTTTGGTCTGTCTGTTTGTACATTTGTCTGTTTGTCTGCCCTAACGATACCTGAAACGGCACCAAACGGCCAACCGCATCTGCAGCGCCCACCCTATATTGCTCAAGGTTTAGCGTCCATAGCTGCACGATTGTAAATTAAAAACTAATTATTGCGCATATCTGAGGCACCACAACAACGCTTCGATGTTTTGTTTGTCTGTTTTTACACTAGAAGAAGCACACACAAGTAACTCTAAAGAATGTAGCGTTTATCGCACTGCGCTGACAGTGCAACGCGATGCTCAAAAAGGTGTTTCCAACACTTTACGACGACGTCGCAGTGGTGGCACCTGGCCGTCGCTTTGCGTTCTACACTAATCACCTCGGAGACTGGCGCGCATCTTCCTCCGCGGGCTGCACGGCTTCGTTTTCGAAGATAACTGCCAGATGGCGCTAGTGTCTAGCGTATCTGGATGCGCTAGTTCGCCTCCACTACACGCTCGAGGCACTCTAACGCAGCGCCTCCAGAATACCATTCACCAATTTTCTTGCGCAGAACATCAAGCAAACGTTTTGTTCACTATCTCCAGACGCAAGACTATCGTCTTTCGACGACATTTGTGGTGTAACATGCAGATTTCGAACCAACTTTTTTTTCCGTTTCTTTCCCATTCATCTGAAGAGGTGAGCACACGGGCTACCAAAAAGCGACGTCTTTTCAGCTGGCGCATCATATAGTGAGCAATGTTCAAATTACCAAAAGGCGACCTTGAGCGCGAGTGCAGAAGTCAACAGTGTTACGCCTGGGAGTCCACGCCCAATGTCAATGCCTTTGCGAAGGCAATCTGTGTCAAGGCGAGCGCTCGAGCCCGCCCGACACGATCAACTCAACGACGTCATCACGCGGCGGCACCGGTCTGTCTTACACAACGCACAGCGAGCCCCCTTAGCCCACAAGCAGTCTGGCGAGTCTTACGCAATGCGTGGCGACGTCACTCGTTCTTGGGTGCAATCACGCGCAGCGGCTCCGGATTTGATGATCATGATGCAGCCCAGTGGCGGGTCTCCATTGGAGGATTCTGACATCACGGCAAGCGGCGCTTCTGGTTGGACGTTGGTGACGAAAAAGGTCCTCCCGGTGCCTATAAAAAAGCCAAGTGGCGCGTCGCCAGCAGTTGACGTATGCGTGCGAGAGAAGACATCTCGTTGCTTCAAGCCTTTTCGCTGTCGGCGTGGCCGGCGTCCTTGTTAGCGGCGAGTTTCGTGGCGCTCTTCGTCGCTTCGTCGGTGGTGCGCTTCGTAATAGCGGATGGCAGCTGCGGGATCGGCCGGCGTCAGTGATATTGATGCGGATAGGGCTTGATGTATCACCTCAGTTCACCAGACTACTCTAGCACAGGTTATAGTAGTTTAGAGAAGGACTCTGTGAAGCATTATAGTGAGTGTTGATCGTTTGAAGCCACGTTGGAGCGCTTTGAAGCCAAAGTTAATGCGGAGGGTGTAAACACGGCAGTGTTAAAAATTTATTGCGCGTCTTGCTAGTAGACTTATAGTGGATACGGCAAGTAGATTCCTAACAGGGGCAAACAGCAAGAGGCTAGTGTGAACAATGGAGAACCTTAAAGTGAAGGAACTCATTGAAATTTGTGAGGAACTTGGCCTTAGTTTGGGCCGTGCGAAACAATAGCAAGCGATCCCTGAGATCATGAAAGATAAAAGAGTGTCGGCTGAAGAAGTTGATGAGGCCTGGACGAATATCAAAGCACGCCACGTGGAGGCTGAAAGGCGAGAAGTTCGCGAATGTGAAGAAGCTGAAAGGCGCGAATGTCGCGAGCGTGAGGAGGCCTAGAGACAAGAGCGCCTAGAGTTGAAACGAATAGAATTGGCAATCCTACAGTGTTCGCAGGCGCCTAGCGTAGTTTCTCCGAGAGTTGAAGTCAGCGGTTATAAAATTCGGAACCAAGTGCCACCGTTCCTAGTAGGTGATGACATGGCAAAGTATCTTTTCAAGTTTAAGCACGTCTGTGTGCGAAATGCTTTGGAGCGGTCTCTTTGGGCGCAGAACTTGTTAGCTGTTCTTCCCGGCGAAGTGTCCGACGTGATAACGTGCTTGTAGAGGGAAGCTTTCTAGAGCTATGACGAGCTTAACGAAGTGCTCTTGAGACGTTATAAGTTGTTACCCGAGGCTTTCTGGCGAAGTTTCAGCTACGCAAAAAAGGGTAATGAGTCACATGTTAACTTCGCGTTTCGTCTTGAAGCCGATTTAATTAAATGGCTCAAAAGCGATGATGTTTATGACGATCGCGATAAAGTGGTAGAATGCATTGCATTGGAGAAATTCTACCACTGCATCGAGGAGGATGTCAAGCTTTGGCTCCACGACAAGCTTGGCGAAGTACAGCTAAACAAGGCAGCACAGTTGGCTGAGGAGAAATACACTCGCCGAAAGTTGCATAGTAGGGCAGTGCGCATCGAAAAGAATGAAAGAAAAGAGGGCTTTTCAAAGAAAAGTGATCAACGGAAACCCACTCCGCACCGTAATTTCAGGAAGGACCCGTCTCTTACGAAGGACACTGTAGGGGAAGGGCAAACGGAAGCGCAGAAATCGAGTGGTGTTCCTAAACAATGCACTGATACCGCACAAGCGTTTGAATCACGGGAGCCGCTAATCTGCTACAGCTGCAAAAAAAAAAGGCACATTGTGATAAACTATAAGCAAAAGTTTGGTTTCGCAACCATCCGAGAATTGGAAGAGAACATGCGGTTGTTAGAGCTTTATCTCTAAAAAATTAGTGTGAATAGTAAAACGTGTCAAGCACTTAGAGACTCTGCGGCAACCATGAACGTTGTTCATCCTTCGTTGGTGACTCCGGATGACTTTGCAGGAGAATGCGCGTGGATCAGACAAGTCGCCGAGGAGCAGAGTGCTTGCTTACCAGTCACTTCGGTTGTCATCGAAGGCTCGTTAGGTAAGCTTCGCACCGAAGCGGCTGCGTCCGCTGCGCTTCCCGATCGTTTTTCATATCTTTTTTCTAATAAATGTGACCAGCTTCTCAAACAGCAGGGTAAATCGTTCTTCTCCAACTTAGCGTACATGGCCCTCACGCGTTCGCAAGCGCGGAAGCTTTCGCGGGAACTTGATCTTGTTCAATGTGGTGAAACACCACCTGCAAAACTGCTGATCTCCGTGACCTTGGCGGCGAGTCGACGGAACCTCAGACAGAAAATTCTCCGCGTGAGTCATTTGGCCAGGCACTTGAGCGGCTCGTCGCCGCAGTGACTGGCGTGGTATCTGTCGGCGGAGACAACATGGCACCATTGAGCCAGAGCGAGAGAGGTGCAATGCTCTCACTTGTAGCGGAAAGTTGGAGTGAGCTGTCGAGGGTTCATCGAGAAACACTCATTCGAGAGCAGTTTGAGGGCCTCTTGATTGAAGCGCTTATGAAAAGCGTAAACTTGGAAAAAAAGAAAAGGAAAGTTTCTTTTGAGAAGGCGGGGCTCCTGTATCGGAGCTACACAAATGTGCAAGGTCGCGAGTATGAGGGGCTTTTTGTACCGCATAGGTATCGTCGCCTAAAAGTGGCCGGTTACTGAGGTAGAGCATGATACTCCAACAGCACAACTTTGACAATCTTGGGACGTTATACCCCTTATATCAATCAATCAATCAATCAATCAATCAATCAATCAATCAATCAATCAATCAA